GTGAGCCACTGCGCCTGACCTAGGTAATCACTGTTTAATGGGTAAAGAGCTGCAGTTTGAGAAGATGAAAAAGTTCTAGACATAGATGGTGGTGGTGATTGCACAACAATGTGAATGTACTTAATGTTACTCAATTGCACACTTAAAAATGGTTAAAATGACAAATTCTATGTTATGTTTATTTACCACAAAAAAATACTTTAAAAAAAGAGGGGTTTCTAAAATATCTAGACACATCATCAACAGCTTCCAGGTAAAGGAACTATCGGTGTAGGATTGGTAGTGTCTTATATAGTAAAACATGCAAGAACAGTTTAAGCAAAGAAAAAGAAGAAGAAATACCTAGCTTTTATGCCTTAAGCCTATTTCTAACAGGAAATCTTTAACAGACTCTTTGACAGAATTACTTCACATTCTCCAAAGTACCTAACAAATTTTACTCAGAGCGCACAGAAAAAGATCTGCAGGACTTCAGTGTGCCCATTTCACAGTGAGATTAGGTGTTCTGCTAAAAACCACAAAGTTGATTCCAGCAGGAGACATTTTTTTAAAAGCCTATGGCTTGACTTTCAGAGCACCTTATGCTAATAAAACCCAGTAAGAAAAGAAATGCCATAATTAAGTTGGATATGTAATCTGAGAAGTACCACAAGCCAACAAAACAAAAGGACAGCATCCTTTATACAGAAACTCCTCCATAAATTTTGGTTATATAAGTTCACATCGGGGCTGGGGCCAGGGAAGAAGGAACACTACTAAGTACCTTCTTAGTAACAGGCCCTTGTGAAGGGTTCAGTTAAGACATGGTCCCCGCCCCTCAGTACCATCTAGTAATCTCCAAAACAGACTCATCTACTCCCTCCCTTGAAATACTCCTTCAGCTTTTTCCCATGGGTCTACTAGAAGTTCCCCTCCTTGAAGAGGTTTTTCCTTTATCACTCTAAAGCTATCCTAGAATAGCTCCCTTTCCTTATTGCACTTTTCACCATCTCCAGTTATCATTACTATTATTATGTGATTATGATTACTACTATTCTTCCATGCACACTTATAATGTGAGCTCTAGAATGAAAGGCCGTAAGTGAAGAAACGTCTTCACTGTACCCTCGGTGACTAGCACAGTATATAACCATTGTGAGCACGCAAATACTTACCAAATAAATGAAAACAAGAACTGTGACTACGATAAGCTTCCGATAACCAACTCTTCCCAGGCTAGCTAGCCCCAGATCCCCAGATTCGGCTCCCTTAGTTATGAGGGATTATACTGGGTACTCACCTCTACCTGAGTAACATTGATGACCAGCACCACCACCATCAACACTGCAAGCAGACAGCAGAAAAGCCGTAGTTTGAAGAAATTGGTCCACATTGTCTGGCTGTGTCTTGTTCACCCATGGCCAACACCATGCTACCTTCACTCTTTAAAATTCCATGTCTTTGTTTTTCTGAGCTGCAGATGAGCTTTCAGGTTCATTTGCTTCTATCCTGCTGGTACCCTTAAGAGCTGTTATGTAGACGAGAGACTGCAGTTGATTCAAGAAGCACATTTTTCTTCAAAGAGGAGAGATGAGAGAACATCACCAATTGCAATGGCCTAGGGTGGGGTGAGAGGAAAAACATCACACTTCCTCTTCCTTAACCTTATCTAAGGCCCAAAGTCACAAGCAGAAAGCAAAGAGACAGAGTACAGTAACGTCTTTTCATTTCCATACAATCTCAAAGTTTCCTTTTCCAGTGTCAGGCTTCTGTGTAAATACATTATTTCCCCTATTGCCTATTTAGGTTTTAACTTTTAAGATAGCAAGGAAGTATGCTTCAAACTCAGAAATTGTGAAATAAAAGTAACTGTTAAATTTCTACAGAGACCAATCAATAAAATCACTTCCCTTCCCCTTCCCTTTAAATTATGTAACACTGCTACATTAACCACACTTAAAGAACATGAAGAGGAAACTGTTTTCATGAAGAGCTCTGGGATACTGTGCAAAGCATCCTGACATTCTCTGGAAAACAGTAAGTGCCACCCCTCTCATACAGACGTATGGTAGGAGATGCGACACGCTCTTTAGGTTTCCAGCTGTCCCCACCGCATATGTGGTCCTGATGCTCCCTCAGCTAAGTAGTAAGGCACAGGAGGACACACACCTGCCTGGAAGATGTGGGAGAGGAAAGTCAAGCTTGAAAAATGGGTAACAGGATCCCAAAATCCTTCATCACACCTGCCAGAGGCAGGGGACTTCAGAGTCAGCCGTGCCTAACTGTTCTCCCACGTAACAAATTCAAATGCTCTTTCCACTTGCCATTTCGATACAGGTAAACAGAAAATGTCCTAGTATTCTATCCCCAGGGAGACGTTCCATGAAGGGCAGGACACAGAGATGAAGGCAGAAAGGGTACAAAATCATGATGCAGAGTATCTTAGAACAGCTCAGCTGCATCAACTCTCCCCTCCACTTTGTGTTGGACCTGGCAAGCCCCCATTCTCTCACTCCTCTGCCTCACCAGTCTGAACCAGTCCCAACCACAATGACAATGTGGTTCACAAAGGAGATGGGCACAAAGGAGAACAAGCTCTCCATCCTCAGAGTTCCCATAGTACTTATTATTTTCACTTCTCAGCTGATCTCTATTTGTACTTTTTTCTCCCTCACACTCCATTTGTATTTCTTATCTCTCAAACTAGACTACACCAATTATGACTATATTTTTTTTAAAAAACCATATATCAGAGAAAAGCAACTTAATGATACTGCATCATACTTTTCTGATTTGCTCAAGGTACTTAGTTCTTTACATGGTACACAATGATTCAACAATCTACGCAACAAATAATTATGGAGGCCTACTCTGTACCACACACTGTACTAAATGCCAGAAATTCCCCTTGAAAAACTTATGCTCATATTAGACAAGATGTCAGTACCTTTTTAAGGAGAAATAAAGCCACCAGTCCTGGCCACCTCCACAGGGATGCCAGGAACTGTGAAAGACTGTGCTTCTCCATTTCCTGATCCCTAACACCTCCTCTCTCCAATATCCAGGCACTCATTCACCTCAAACTGTCTATAACTTCTTGAAAGAAGCTGGCTGCAAAATAGAGGATAACTCTGTCATCAGGGTCCCAACTGTTCTGCTATCGAAATCCTTCTCAAAAAGTTGTCCATAAAAAAAAAAAAATCAGGTTTCCACGATGACCAGAGAGAGAAAAGACCAAAGATGGTAGTCCACAGGAATTTAGCTGCACTATAGGCAGGTGTGGTCATGGGTTGTGTTGACACAAGCCATTTAAAGGACATCAGAGTGGTTCAGCCAGGCAGCAGCAGCACACAGCTGCCAGTGATGCAGAAGGATGACAAGGGCAGGAGACTCTAAAGCGAAAGAACTACAGGACTAGAGGCAGCAATGCAAGAAGCCCCTCCCAGCTAGAGGCGTCTACTGACAATAATTTAGGAGGATCATGCCAGGAAAAGACCTGACTTTGTGCTGTAAGTAGAGCACTGACATTTGAGAGATCACATTTGTACACCTAAATAGATGTTGCGTGAGGCACACTAGACAGACCTCTCTTTGAAAAGATATACACTAGGCCGGGTACAGTGGCTCACACCTGTAATCCCAGCACTTTGGGAGGCCGAGGCAGGCGGATCACAAGGTCAGGAGATCGAGACCATCCTAACATGGTGAAACCCTTTCTCTACTAAAAATACAAAAAATTAGCCGGGTGTGGCAGTGTGCACCTGTAGTCCCAGCTACTTGGCAGGCTGAGGCAGGAGAACGGCGTGAACCCGGGAGGCAGAGCTTGCAGTGAGCCGAGATCGCACCATTGCACTCCAGCCTGGGCAACAGAGTGAGACTCCGTTTCAAAAAAAGAAGAAGAAAAAAGAAAAGATATGCACTAAAATTTTAATAGTTGTCACCTCTAGGCAGTTTTTGTTTTCTCCTCTATCTGTATGTCCTAATTTTTCACTGGGAAATGAAAATCACAAATACAAAGAATAAAGCTGGGCCAGGCACGGTGGCTCACGCCAGTAATCCCAACACTTTGGAAGGCCAAGACAGGAGGATTGTGGAGACCAGGACTTCAAGACTAGCCAAGGCAAGATAGTGAGAGCCCAACTCTACAAAAAAAAAATTTTTTTTTTAATTAGTTGGGCACGGTAGTACGCACCTATAGTCTCAGTTACTCAGGAGGCTGAGGTAGGAGAATTGTTTGAGCCTGGGAGGTCGAGGCTGCAGGGAACCATGATCACACCAATGTACTCCAGCCTGGGCAACAGAGCAGGACTCTGTCTCAAAAACATAAATAAATAAAATAAAGAATAAAACCAATTTCTAAAAGTAAAAATTAAAGATGAGACATAGGAGAAACAAAGCATTAAATCATATCTGTGAAATCAATTCAACTTAAACTGAAAGATTTCTAAGTAAAAGAAGAAATCTAATTCACGGCATGAGGTGACTGTAGTGTAAACAACAAACTATAACAAGTTTCTGGTATTTTCCTATAAACATAAAACCTATGCATTATAACAAGAAAGCTATTTGCAAGGAGCCTTAAAATCAAGTAAGAACAACAGTGTTGGCAGGGAATGATTCTAGAAAAAAGTTCCTCAGATTAACAAAAAAATAAAAATACATAATTCAATGTAATTTACCTCTTTTGGAAATTTTCCAAGAAGAGATGTTTACTGGAACTAGAAATTAGAAGTTACATCTAACATTCCTTCCAGCATGAAATTCTGAACTCAGCCAATTTTGATCAGAGGTCCTTATTTTTTTCATGCCACATTTGAAGCACACATCAATGTTTTTTTCATTTTTATACAATTCTTCTTGCTGCAACAAAAATATGTATATGATATAAAGGTTAAAGATACTGAAAATGAAGTAAAGAAAAACATTAGAAATTAAGAGTTCAATTTTACAGGCAGAGAGTTATACATGATACAGTGGGAGGAGTGGGCATAGGAACGTTTCCTTTTCCTTACTAATAAAAAATAGTAATTGTCTATTTAAATACATTAACTTCAACCTGGTAAATCACTCTCAGACCTTGACAGAAGGTCAAAACTTTATAAATAGCAATATAAGTGAAAAAATATAAACCAAAGATAAAAGCTCCAAATGTTATTTTTCTTAAAAACTATTATAATTTTGTAGTTCAATGATCCAATGATTTTGTTTTCCCCTACAGAAAAAAAGGGGTATCTGTACAGATCTAAAAGTTATTATTCAAGGAATCTAAACTTGAGTGATCCTGTTTTCAAATGTCAGACCACCACTTACTCATGCTTTATTTTTATTAATACGTGCAAAGGACAAGCAAAAAGTTAAATGCATGCTCTGTCTCACATGTGGAACCCAGAATTTGTTGGAAGTATTCCACCAAGTTTTTATTAAGCCTACTTCCATATTCAGGACTCATAGTGGCCAATCTAACTTCTTTAAGGCCTGTAACAACAACTCCAGACTGCCATTAGGATTCCTACCCCCATCTCACAAGAGAATTACAAAGTAGTCGCTTACATCATTTGGAATTACAATTGTCAGTAACACAAATGAAATTCCTGAGTTCAATACTAAACAAAGAAAATGAGACAGCAACCCTATCCTCTGGGGAGCTAATGTTCTCAGGCAACCACTTCACAAAGATAATATATTAGAGGACAACTGCATAGAAACTGTCCAGTTTCTGAGGCAGTCCCTATCCTAAATACTCTGACCTGTTAGCCACATAAATGTAATTGTACTAGTCACAGCAAGTCTCTGGAACTTTAATTCAGAATATATATTTCAGAAGAATAGTAAGAGACAAAAGCACAGATTTACATGGAAAGTATCTACACTTAACTGCTTATATTTCAAACTTTGCAAAGAGTCGCTGTATTTCATAGGATGCTGAGTAAGACCATGAAACAGGGCAGGATCTAAAGAATGAAGAACTGGAGACCCATCCAGGACCCCAACAATGACAGGTTAACCAAATAGGGTCAATCCTTGAAAAAAGATGAAGCAGGGGCACTAGTCTGCAGGACTTGTTTCCACAGATTCCATTCCTCCTTCATGTCCCCCAGCCTCACATGCCCAAAGTGCTGACTCATCTGGACTTTCCCTTGCCCTTCTTCCAAAGCAGGGCCCCATGTATTCATGGAGGTTACATGGCAGGTGGAGAAGTAATAAAATCAGTTATGTAAGTCACATCGTACTAAGTGCTATTTTTAAAATATTGAACACATTGATAGGTTGTGGTCCTCAACCCTGCATGAACATTAATCATCATCGTGGAAGCTTTTTAAAATACAAATAACTGGGCCCCACTCAACCAATTAAATCAGAATCTGTGGGAATAGGCCCAACAAGCAGCTTTTTTTAAAAAGGTCCCTAGATGATTACAATGTACAGCCAAGTGGGAGAACCACTAGCATAGAGTGGCCAGGGGCTGTTATTCGTTTCAGTTGGCAAAAGGATGGCCTTTTCAAAATGATGTTTGAATTGTAACTTAAATTGTCGGGGCAGGACAACCCAATTCCTGGGCAATGGGGACAGCTAACCCCACTTCAGTGATTTATCCCTTCGTTTCCTTTCTCAGTAACAAATAACAGCACTCTACCAGCCCCAAAGAGATTGTGAGGATAACAGACATGGGAAAAAAAAAAACAAAACTAAACAAAGTCAAAGAAAAGCTGAACCCAAACACTACAGAGAAATGGTATGCTGCTGCCTCCACTCAGACAATTATCAGGGTCTGGGAGTCCTGCCAGTTTCAAATATACCCTGATGTTCCAAATGATAATTAACCACAGTGAGGAGGGGGGAGGCCCACCAGAGCAGTGTGATTCTTTATCTTTGGGAAAAGTGGCACCAATCCCCCTTTAACGTAAATCATGAAAAGCAAATAAAATTTACTATTTTGCACAAATGTTGCATAAATCCTGCCTCGGAACCCCTCTTATCACCACCCTAGTGGCCTTCGATCCGGCAGAAATGGGCAACAGGCCAGGGTCTCCATATCACACCTTGTAAAGTTACACTCGTTTCTCCCCATACGACCTGAATCTGATGTCCCCAAACGGCAGCTCAGTAAGGCCAGAACAGTCCACCGTGTGACAGCAGTGCCAGCCAAGAGGCAGCCGGTGCCCAGAGCAGCGATGAGCCGAGAGACATGAGATGGGCAGGGAGGCGTCGCCAAGTGCTCCGCACCGGGTTAGTGAAGGTGCCTGGGGGACAGCAGTCCTTCGCTGAGGCGTGGAGGTCCGAACTGCACCCAGCTGTGCCGTTGCCGCAAGTCGAGGAAACTGAGGATGGAGATGCTCGCTCTCGGCCCCGCCCCGCCCCGCCGGTACTAGCCTCGGCTCCTGCTTCTCAGCTGCGACGCTTTGGCAACCCAGGGCTCCAACTCTGCCTACGCCATCGACCCGGACCTCCCCTCCGTGGGCCCTGCGCCCCCAGCCACGACCCCGGGGGCTGCACGCCTCAGGACGGGGCTGGGGACTCGGGAGCAGATGCGCGCGGAGGGAGGGGCTTCGCAGTCAAAGAGAGAGCTAGATGAGCCGGGCAGTGGGTCGCTCCGCCCGCAGCGGCCCCTCCCGACGTCCACACGCAGACCACAACCCGCACTCACCTCCGGGACCCGCCCGCCCTTCGCTCTCCGGGGGCCAGGGATCCTGACGCCCCGGCCGGTCGCCGCTGCGCCAGGCCGCTAGCCCCCCGCTTCCTCACCCGGCGACGTCTCCTCACCTCCGACCCCCGGCTACCATTGGTGGAGCTTCGGCGGGGGCGGGCCGAAGGCGTTGACTGACAGCAGCACGCGCCGGGCGGAACCCACAGGCCTGTAAGCGAAGTTGGCACCCTGGCGCTCCACGCCGCGGAGCTCCCGCTTGCGACGCGACACTGCAGCTGTCTCCCCGCGGCCCGAGGTCTCGCCCCTCTCGCGACCCAACTCCTCGTGACCTTCGGACATCAGAGTTTCCTGGGAGCATCCACCTACCTCAAGGCTTTTCGCTTGTCAGCCAAAGTGCTTACAACCGCAGTTGACTCTAGTGGGGCAGCCTTTCCTGTGCAGTGATGGAATTTATTGTGCCCTGAACCGGAGAAATGCGATTTGCCAAGTATGAGCACGGATATAGCGGATCCTTGAATCTTTTGCTTGCTTTGAAATTAGTCAGCAACTTCTATTCCGTAAAACAGCCCGTTCCTTTTACTCTCACTGTACATGATGTCGGTCTCTTGGCAAAGTATACTTTCCTCACCCCCCACCATCCCAAATTCTGGGTTATCCTCTTTTGAACATTTTTCTAACTGGTGAAACGTCGGTGGCAGTTATGTGAACTTCAGGAACTGAGAGGAGTCCTGAGAAGACACTTGTTCAAGAAACCAGAAGGGATTGCGGTCTGCACCGTGTTTTTCTGTGCTCGGAGCACAGTGGGGTTAACACAGGTCCCAAAAGCAGGCCTGCCCCTGGACTATTATCCCAAAGTTTAAGAAAAATAATTAATATACATGACAACTAAGTATTTTGCCTTTTCTTGACCATAATGGACTCTGCATGCTCATTCAGGTGCTTTCATGGCAGGCCTGCATCGTGGACAACCAGATCCATGAATGGGATAAAAGGAAGTTCTGCTACAGGGTGGAAGATCTCTTCTGTAGTAATGATCTGATGCTCCTTCTTCCTCGAGGAAATACAGCACTCTGGTACCTTTTGAGAACATAAAAGGTAGCTTCCTTCCGCTATCAAAGAAGAGCCCCATATACTAGACCTCTGCTCTGGTTATGCTTTGTCTCCCAGTAGGATCCCCCACCTCATGTACAGTTTGGCTGTCTTACAAGGGGTAAAATACTTAGGACAACATGACTTCTAGGTCATGGTTTTGGACCTCATTGACCCCATTCTCCCCCAAGCACTCATAACCCTGAGGCATTTGAGTGATCTTACCTATATTTACCTATATTTTACAGTCATAACCACAAATAAGAGCAGCCCCGACCAGAAAAGCCCATCCATCACTACCAGTTTCTTCAAAGATTTCTCACTGCAAAGTTCCCACACTCCCACCTCAGCACATTCAGTGAAGAATACTGTCACGCAGAGAGTATGCACTTTGGATCCTAGCCTACCTGGATCTGGACCACAGCTTTGTTTCTTACTAGTAGTGCCATCCTAGGCAAATTACTTAACTTCTCTGCATTCATTTCCTCTCCTGTAAATTGGGGGCAACACCACTGAATGTTCATTTATGATCATCTCACAGCCCGTCATGGTGGTTCACACCTGTAATCCCAGCACTTTGGGAGGCCGAGGTGAAACAGGAATTAAAAGAAATTAAAGAATGTGTAAGCGACAACTCAGTTGTATGTAAGAAAACCCAATTCCCCCTGAGAAAGAGAAAGAGGTGGAGTCCTTTAAAAATTAACTGCCTGTTTTTCTGTGGCTAGTGAGCCTTATCTCTCCCTTTCCCAGGCATTGTGAAGACTCTGCATCTCTAGCTGTGCAGCTGCAAGGTCTCTAGGCAGATAAACTCAAGTCATAAAACACGTTGTTCCTTGAAAAGTAAGAAATGATGTAATGCATGTCTCAATTGAATAACTGTCTTTGTGTCTCGCTTCTGTAATATGCTTCCCCCTGCACAAATCTCCCCCCACCCCACAAAAATGCTCAAAAGGTAACCAAACTCTTTGTTCGGGGCTCAGTCTTTTCGGCTGTTAATCTGACTGAGCCGGTGCACTTAAATAATAAATAATAAGTTTCCTCCTCAACCCCTCGGTCTCTCTGATTCCTAAATTGTCCTGCTGCAGAGGCAGGCAGATGGCATGAGCTTAGGAGTTTGAGATCAGCCTGGGCAACATAGTGAGACCCCATCTCTACAAAAAATATAAAAATTAACCAGGGCCAGGCACAGTGGCTCATGCCTGTTATCCCAGCACTTTGGGAGGCCGAGGTGGGAGGATCACCTGAGGTCAGGAGTTTAAGACCAGCCTGGCCAACATGATGAAACCCCGTCTCTACTAAAAATACAAAAATTGGCTGGGTGTGGTGGCACACACCTGCAATCCCAGCTATTCAGGAAGCTGAGGCAGGAAAATCACTGGAACCCAGGAGCTGAGATCACACCACTGCACTCCAGCCTGGGCAAGACTCCATCTCAAAAAGAAAAAAAATTTACCAGGTGTGGTGGTGTATACTTGTAGTCCCAGCTACTCAGGAGGCTGAGGTGGAAGGATAGCTTGAGCCTGGGAGGTTGAGGCTGTAGTAAGCTGTGATCGTGCCACTGTACCAGCCTGGGTGACAGAGCGAGGCCCTGTCTCAAAAAAAAAAAAAAAAGTTTATATGATTATATGAAACCAAAGGAACTGGTCATTTCTGTCCCATCTGCAAAAGTGGTTTAGACACTAGTGTTTATTAATGCTAAACTTGATTAAGCAAAACAAAGCATAGACCTAAGCAAAACAAAGAATAGATCTTAAGAGTAGACAAAAGCAAATAAACCTGTCTCTGATGGCAGAAGCTTGAGGCACAAGCACATTAAGTATTTTTATATTTCTTGACCACAGTGGACTCTGCATTCATTCAGATATTTTCACAAAGGCCTACATGCATACTCCTGAGCCCAAGTCAGTTCCTCACTCAGTTCCTTTGCTTCCCCGCTTTGAATAAGTCACTGAAATTTGGGCCCCAAGGCCATCTACCTACTGAAAATTAAGTGATCACTGTCACATTAGGTACCAACCACTCTGTTCCAAAACACCATGAACAGTTGGAGGAGGCTGCCAAGGGTAAGAGACTAAAAGGGAGAGAGGTAGTTGTCACTATTGTGTTGGTCCATGCTCTCAAATTAATGGACATATTTTCCTTTTAAAAGTCATAATTGGCTGGGTGCGGTGCTCACGCCTGTAATCCCAACACTTTGGGAGGCTGAGGCAGGTGGATCTCCAGAGGTCAGGAGTTTGAGACCAGCCTGGCCAACATGGTGAAACCCTGTCTCTACTAAAAATAAAAAAAAAAAATTAGCCAGGCATAGTGGCAGAGGCAGGTGGATCTCCAGAGGTCAGGAGTTTGAGACCAGCCTGGCCAACATGGTGAAACCCTGTCTCTACTAAAAATAAAAAAAAAAATTAGCCATTGCACTCCAGCCTGGGCAACAAGAGCAAAACTCTGTCTCAAAAAAAAAAAAGAAAGAAGAAGTTGTAATTAATGATGGCTAATCTCACACGCAGTTTAGGGAAAAATGAGATCGATTTTTTTCCTCCACTCTTGATTTCTCCAGTTCAGTAGTCCCCAAATCAAATTTCACTGATAATTGAAATAACATCAGTAGCTTTGTTTTTTTTTGAGATGGAGTCTCACTCTGTTGCTCAGGCTGGAGTGCGGTGGCACAATCTCGGCTCACTACAACCTCCGCCTCCTGGGTTCAAGTGATTCTTCTGCCTCAGCCTTGACAGTAGCTAAGATAACAGGCGTGTGCCACCACGCCCAGCTAATTTTTTTAATTTTTAGTAGAGATGGGATTTTTTACCATGTTGGCCAGGTTGGTCTTGAACTCCTGGCCTCAAGTGATCCACCTGCCTTGGCCTTTCAAAGTGCTGAGATTACACGTGTGAGCACTTTGGGAGGCTGAGGCAGGTGGATCATGAGGTCAGGAGTTCGAGAGCAGC